ACACAAGTGCAACTAATGTGACATTTTATTGTAGCAACGTTTCGCTCTCCAGGAGCTTTGTCAAGCCGGCTTGACAAGCTCCTGGAGAGCGAAACGTTGCCACAATAAAATATCACATTAGTTGCACTTGTGTCCTTTTACCCAACATATTGTCGGTAATTCTACCAACATTAATACGATACTTTTCACACTTCTCTTGTTACTGAGGCTTCGGTATATACTTCGGTATATACTTCTTTTCCTGGTCATCTTGTCCTCTCCAATACTTTGTTAAACCTGCCATTCTCTTCACAGACTTGGAGCACAAAAGAAATGTTAGCCTTCCTGACACTATCACGGCTCTTTTCCTCCATGTCAGAGATCACAGTCACCCTACTAACTGGTCCTCCAGTTAACACTAGTCGTCAAAGACACTACCTTCTTGAATCATACATTATAGACACCTTCAACCAGGGAACTGGTGAGGTCTAAACCCATGGCAATTGACCCCTAATACAGGCCAGTGCGTTAACCACTGGGCCAGTTGGTTCTAATAAGATTCATCGAACTAGGTATATTTCTATACACCATGGGCCCCAGTATGGGCATAGTGGTGGCCCATGCTAACCTCCCTATGTTGTATAGATACCTAGTTGGATGAATCTTATTAGAACCAGCTGGTCCAGTGGTTAACGCACTGGCCTGTGAGTTTAACGACTTGCTTGGGTTTAAACCCCACTCGTTCCCTGATTTGTTTGCAATCGTTTTATTAAGATTTCGTGAGTTGTAGACAACTTTTCTAAGATGAATCTTAATGGAGATAAATGGCGTAAAATACCGACTGTGGAAGAATAAACAAATGCAGTATATACCGATACTTTGTTAACAACGTTTCGCCCACATCGCGTACTTTATCAAGTCACAAACAGATCTACCTGGGCAAAAGGTACATGAATATATAAAGTTCACTGTATGGGCGAAACGTTGCCAGTAAAGAATTGCATTATACTGCATCTGTGTTTATGAATCTTAATCCTGGCTTTACTTTTGAATAGGCCTACTCTTCTCAATACATTGTCGCACGTTCTAATCCTAAAAACAATCGTGACTTGATCCAAACCACTACTACTACTACAACCACTACTACCACCACTACCACCACTACCACCACCACTACCACCACCACTACCACCACCACTACCACCACCACCACCACCACCACCACCACTACCACCACTACTACTACTTCTACAACCACTACTACTACAACCACTACCACCACTACTACTACTACTTCTACAACCACTACTACTACAACCACTACCACCACCATCACCACCATCACCACCACCATCACCACCACCATTACTACTACAACCAATACTGCCACCACCGCCACTACTACTACTATAGTTACAACCACTACTACTACCACCACCACCACCACCACTACTACTGCTACAACCATTACTACCACCACCACCACTACTACTACTACTGCTACAACCACTACTACTACTGCTGCTACTTCTGCTACAGCCATTACTACCACTACTATTACTGCTACAACCATTACTACCACTACTACTGCTACAACCATTACTACCACCACCACCACTACTACTACTACTGCTACTACAACCACTACTGTTAATGTATTGTCTTCTGGTCTTATCCTGTCTCGCCTTGTTTGTGACTTGACAATGGTCTAGTAAGGGCTTTCTGAAGTGCGAGTTGTTGGTGAAAGGTGTTGTGTTGTGTTTTGTGTTGTTGTATGTTGTATTTTGTGGTGTATTGTTTTGTGTGTGTGTTTTGTGATGTGAGGTGTGCTGTGGTGTATTGTGTTGTGATGTGTTGTATTGTGGTGTGTTGTGGTGGTGTATTGTGTTGTGATGGTGTGTTGTATTGTGTGTTGTGGTGGTGTATTGTGTTGTGATGGTGTGTTGTATTGTGGTGTGTTGTGGTGTATTGTGTTGTGGTGTGTTGTATTGTGGTGTGTTGTGGTGGTGTATTGTGTTGTGATGGTGTGTTGTATTGTGGTGTGTTGTGGTGGTGTATTGTGTTGTGATGGTGTGTTGTGGTGTGTTGTGGTGGTGTGTTGTGGTGTGTTGTGGTGGTGTATTGTGTTGTGATGGTGTGTTGTGCTGTGGTGTGTTGTGGTGGTGTATTGTGTTGTGATGGTGTATTGTATTGTGTGTTGTGGTGGTGTATTGTGTTGTGATGGTGTGTTGTATTGTGTGTTGTGGTGGTGTATTGTGTTGTGATGGTGTGTTGTATTGTGTGTTGTGGTGGTGTATTGTGTTGTGATGGTGTGTTGTTATTGTGTGTTGTGGTGGTGTATTGTGTTGTGATGGTGTGTTGTGTTGTGGTGTGTTGTGGTGGTGTATTGTGTTGTGATGGTGTGTTGTATTGTGGTGTGTTGTGGTGGTGTATTGTGTTGTGATGGTGTGTTGTATTGTGTGTTGTGGTGGTGTATTGTGTTGTGATGGTGTGTTGTATTGTGTGTTGTGGTGTGTATTGTGTTGTGATGGTGTGTTGTATTGTGTGTTGTGTGGTGGTATGTGTTGTGAGGTGGTTGTGTTGTGTTGTGGTGTGTTGTGGTGGTGTATTGTGTTGTGATGGTGTGTTGTATTGTGGTGTGTTGTGGTGGTGTATTGTGTTGTGATGGTGTGTTGTTTTGTGTGTTGTGGTGGTATTGTGTTGTGATGGTGTGTTGTATTGTGTGTTGTGGTGTGTATTGTGTTGTGATGGTGTGTTGTATTTGTGTGTTGTGGTGGTGTATTGTGTTGTGATGGTGTGTTGTGTTGTGGTGTGTTGTGGTGGTGTATTGTGTTGTGATGGTGTGTTGTATTGTGGTGTGTTGTGGTGGTGTATTGTGTTGTGTTGTGTGTTGTATTGTGTGTTGTGGGGGTGTATTGTGTTGTGATGGTGTGTTGTATTGTGTGTTGTGGTGGTGTATTGTGTTGTGATGGTGTGTTGTATTGTGTGTTGTGGTGGTGTATTGTGTTGTATGGTGTGTTGTGTGTTGTGTGTTGTGGTTGTGTTTTGTGTTGTGATGGTGTGTTGTATTGTGGTGTGTTGTGGTGGTGTTATTGTGATTGATGGTGTGTTGTATTGTGGTGTTTGTGGTTGTATTGTTTGTGATGGTGTGTTGTGTTGTGTGGTGATTTGTTGTGATGGTGTGTTGTGGTGGTGTATTGTGTTGTGATGGTGTGTTGTGTTGTGGTGTGTTTGTTTTTGTGATGTGTTGTGTTGTGTTTGTATGCTGTGGTGGTGTGTTGCGCTGCCAGTTGTGGTGTGTGCTGTAGTGTGTTGCTCCCGGGTTTATTGTGGTGTTGGGTTGGATTAGTGGTTTTATTGTGTTGTATTGGTATGTGTGTGTTGTGTCTGTGGTGATGTGGTGTCCCGTTGTGGTTAAAACATACTCTCCTCTCTCTCTCTCTCTCTACTCTCTCTCTCTCTCTTCTCTCCTCTCTCTCTCTCTCTCTCTCTCTCTCTCTCTCCTCTCTCTCTTCTCCGTTTTGTAGGTGTAGAGCAACATTGTATTCTTGTATTCTACTGTGTGGGTAGAAAACAGTAGTGTATGACTATGATTGTGTAGGTAGAATACAGTACTGTATGACTATTGTATGATTGTGTAGGTAGAATACAATACTGTATGACATGTATGATTGTATAGGTAGAATACAGTACTGTATAACTATTGTCTGTTTGTATGCAGAATACAGTACTGACTATTTTATGATTGTGTAAGTAGAATACAATGCTGTATAACTATTGTATGGTTGTGTAGGTAGAACACAATACTGTATGATTATTGTATGATTGTGTAGGTAGAATACAATACTGTATAACTATTGTATGGTTGTGTAGGTAGAATACAATACTGTATGACATGTATGATTGTATAGGTAGAATACAGTACTGTATAACTATTGTCTGTTTGTATGCAGAATACAGTACTGTATGACTATTTTATGATTGTGTAGGTAGAATACAATACTGTATAACTATTGTATGGTTGTGTAAGTAGTGGAACAAGCCAGATGTACTGCTGGAGATCTGGACCTGACACATACCAGACACATGTGCACTACCTCACTAGACTACCATTTGATACATGCAAGACACGTGGCCAGGACATGTACAGCTTGTGCGTGTCCTGTGTGACTATCCCTTCTATCATTGTCTGGTGCGCCGCGGAGGCCAGGAGCTAGCGCTCAGTACCGGCATTATCACTCATTAAACGTGGAGAGCGTACATGGTATACAGTACCTATACATGTTCTATACCTGGGTAGCTTTTTGATGAATAAGACACATGTACAACACCTGAGTATCTTTATTGATAAATAAAACACATGTGCAACACCTGGGTAACTTTATTGTCGATACAGCCATAGAGATACCCAGTTGATAGATATATGTCCTAGAGAGTCCTGAAAGATTTGCTTTTGTTAATTATCTGTATAATTATCTGTATAAAAAGAAAGAATATCTCTGTATAACTTTACGAATATTGGTGTCAGGGTAGAACAGAAAGTTGCACTTAAAATTTAAATATGGGGAGGTGGGGTGGAGGGTCGTGGGCGAAAGGTGTTGGAGTTGGCAGTGAGGTTTACCCCCAGATCTCCAGCAGTGGTCCTCAGCCTGCTCTGATGCCGAGTTTCGGTCACCTCCAGTCATTCAGTTTTCTCAGTTCCCGATACAAGTGTGAAGGGAAAAGCTTCACTTGTTCCCTGAAACATTCTCTACACACACTATACCATCTGATAAGTCAAAATAACTCGTCAGAATCTAAATATACATAACAAGAAGAGCTCAGACGTTTCAGAATGCATTCGATAGACAAACGTTTTAAAAACTTGCTTATATACAAATCAGCTCATCCAGACTTTGTTGCAATGATTCAATTGAAGACTTTTAAGTCAATTTACAAATTCGGATGATCCAATTTGCAAATACCGAGACGATGAGTGAGCCTTCAGTAGTTTGATGAGATAATTTTATCTCTCTTTGCAGATCGAAAGACGTCATGACATCGGGAATGGAGAGAAAGCTGAATGCTGGAAGGTCTGGGAAAGGGCGCGGTAGGGGGCGTCCCAGAAAAGGGGAAGGGAGTGAGAGGAAGCAAGAGGGTCAAGGGAGGGAAGGAGATAAGAGGGAGGGAGACGATCACGGGGAGAGTGGAGAGAGTGAGACTAATCAGAGGAGAGAAGGTAGCACTTTGGTCACTAATGATGATACCATAGCCACTAGAGAAGGTGATACCATCGCCACTATAGAAGGCAGTAGCACCATTACCATCAAAGAGGGTGACACTATAATCAGCAGAGAAGATAGCATAATAGCTACCATAGAAGATAAGAATATAATCACTAGAGACGATAATATCAATGCCCCCAGAGAAAGTAACACTGTAACCAATATAGAAGATACTACCATTTCCACTACAGAGGGTAGCACCATTGCCACTAGAGAGGGTAGTGCCATTGCCACTAGAGAGAATAGCACCATTGCCACTAGAGAGGGTACCACCATTGCCACTAGAGAGGGTAGCACCATTGCCACTAGAGAGGGTAGCACCATTGCCACTAGAGAGGGTAGCACCATTGCCACTAGAGAGAGTAGCACCATTGCCACTAGAGAGAGTAGCACCATTGCTACTAGAAGAACAGCCTCTGCAGACTCGGTCCTCACAACCCACATTAGCCCTCAACATAAACCAAACTCCGATAAGAAACTCTCTCAGTCTACTGATGTAATCCAGCGGTCTGACAGCCTAAAAGTTGTGGACAAAATAAGTAATATACCTTCGACCAGAGAAAAAGGCAGAAGAGAAAAGGCAAATAAGGTAAAAGAGAAACCTAAAGAAAAATCACGATCTATTAGTCCTCAAAAAGAGTGTAAATCAAACGAGCACAAAGGTCATAATCCCTCCCGTTCGCCCGTCCGAGAACATGATAGCAACACTGTAAAAGGTAAATGGGAGACGCAGGTAGTAAGTAATAAGAACGTCAACACCACACCACCCACACGTTCACACCAACACCAAGAACCAACAAGAGACAGTAAACAAGAGTCGAGTACCATTGTAGCCAAATCTTCAGCGCTTCCAACATCCTCTCAGCCTATAATCTTAACACGAACTAGTAGTCTTAAGGATACTAAGATCCCGAAGGGCCCTGAAAGGGACCAGAAAGATCTTCCTGACGCAGCGCAGTACCCTAGAGATGCTATTCTCTCTAGGTGGATTGAGTGTCGAACTGGCAAGTTCGGTAGCAATTTGCAGTCACCTTCCACTGGTCAGTCACGGCCCCTCATGACGCATAAATTAAAACCCTCACCGTTCCAGAATCTCATGGCGGCCCAAGAACTCCTCAAGAACCAAAAGGACTCTGAGAGAGCCGAAAAAATCAACACTGCAACTTCAAGCGACTCTAGTGATTCATCATCTGCTGACCCGAAAGTCACCAGGAGCAAGAATGATGGAGAGAGAGCCACAGGGCGGGTCACCACCACCACCACTACCACCACCACCACGGCAACCACCACTGCTGGTAGTGGTGGTGAGAGTGAGGGACCACAAGACCTGTCCAAACATCGAAGTCGACCCAACAGCCAGACTAGCGACGATGGCTCTGATATATCAGACGATGCCAACAAAACTGTTGGCTCTAATGACTGTTTTGCGGACGATGATGACGATGACGACGATACCAGTAACGAAATGCGCATTGTCGAAGACGAGAGTGAGCTTCGTGAGCTTGACCTCTCCATGCCAAGTAAACAGAAACAAGAAGCTGTAAATAAAAGTGAACAGAACCAGAAGAATGAAATTAAAAATATAGATTTTTCTGTATTTAAGTCCTATAAAACCAAGGATAATAAACCTTCTAAAGCTTCATCAAGTTTGGATGACCAAAACGCCGCTGTTTGTCTCCTTCAGCTCAAATCTTCCTCTACTCCCCAATCTCCATACGTTGTCAAAATTCTCTCACCCGAACCCGCCCACCAATCCAGCTCCTCCTCGCTCCCAGGCCAGCCAATGAGAACGCCATTCGCAACCAGAGCTCCACCCCTTGAGGCTGCTCAACCAATCATACCATCGCTTGGCTCTGGTGAGAGTCGGTTGGTCACTTTTAGTCCACGGGGCGTGGTCGATGGGCGTGGTATAAGGCCAGTACCTCCTCCCCCAGGGAATGAGCAGGGTAGGTCCTATCACCGTCATTTAGGCTGATCTGTTGCGTGGTTTGCTGGGTGATGGTGGTGCAGGCTGGCCTTAGCTTGCAAGCTGGATTTAGCTTGTAGGCTGGCCTTAGCTTGCAGCCTGGATTTAGCTTGCAGGCTGTCATTAGACTGCACACTAGTCTTAGTTTGCAGGCTGGCCTTAGCTTGCAGCCTGGATTTAGCTTACAGGCTGTCCTTAGATTGCACACTGGCCTTAGTTTGCAGGCTGGCCTTAGCTTGCAAGCTGGCCTTAGCTTGCAAGCTGGCCTTAACTTGCAAGCTGGTCTTAGCTTGCAGGACAGTTCATGCAGGCCAATTCCTGCAGGCCATACCCACACACCAGGTCCTTCCTCACTTTGGCTCATTTCCCACTCTTAAATATTTAGTCATGTTCACGTTATTAATATTCCTTTGTATTATATGATGTAAACAGTGTGTGTGTGTGTGTGTGTGTGTGTGTGTGTGTGTGTGTTATGTAATTAGCATTTAAAACTATATAACAAAGAATACATATATAAGCAAAAAAGGTACTTCCTGGTTTAAGTGGTAGGTGAGAGGGTCCAGAGTTTGAGGGGAGAGGGTCCAGAGTTTGAGGGGAGAGGGACCAGAGTTTGAGGGGAGAGGGACCAGAGTTTGAGGGGAGAGGGTCCAGAGTTTGAGGGGAGAGGGACCAGAGTTTGAGGGGAGAGGGACCAGAGTTTGAGGGAGAGGGTCCAGAGTTTTGAGGGGAGAGGGACCAGAGTTTGAGGGGAGAGGGACCAGAGTTTGAGGGGAGAGGGTCCAGAGTTTGAGGGGAGAGGGACCAGAGTTTGAGGGGAGAGGGACCAGAGTTTGAGGGGAGAGGGTCCAGAGTTTGAGGGGAGAGGGTCCAGAGTTTGAGGGGAGAGGGACCAGAGTTCGAGGGGAGAGGGACCAGAGTTTGAGGTGAGAGGGACCAGAGTTTGAGGTGAGAGGGATCAGAGTTTGAGGTGAGAGGGACCAGAGTTTGAGGTGAGAGGGACCAGAGTTTGAGGTGAGAGGGACCAGAGTTTGAGGTGAGAGGGACCAGAGTTTGAGGGGAGAGGGACCAGAGTTTGAGGCGAGAGGGACCAGAGTTTGAGGTGAGAGGGACCAGAGTTTGAGGGGAGAGGGACCAGAGTTTGAGGGGAGAGGGACCAGAGTTTGAGGTGAGAGGGACCAGAGTTTGAGGGGAGAGGGACCAGAGTTTGAGGTGAGAGGGACCAGAGTTTGAGGTGAGAGGGACCAGAGTTTGAGGTGAGAGGGACCAGAGTTTGAGGTGAGAGGGACCAGAGTTTGAGGTGAGAGGGACCAGAGTTTGAGGGGAGAGGGTCCAGAGTTTGAGGGGAGAGGGACCAGAGTTTGAGGGGAGAGGGACCAGAGTTTGAGGTGAGAGGGACCAGAGTTTGAGGTGAGATGGACCAGAGTTTGAGGTGAGAGGGACCAGAGTTTGAAGGGAGAGGGACCAGTTTGAGGTGAGAGGGACCAGAGTTTGAGGTGAGAGGGACCAGAGTTTGAGGTGAGAGGGACCAGAGTTTGAGGGGAGAGGGTCCAGAGTTTGAGGGGAGAGGGACCAGAGTTTGAGGGGAGAGGGACCAGAGTTTGAAGGGAGAGGGACCAGTTTGAGGTGAGAGGGACCAGAGTTTGAGGCGAGAGGGACCAGAGTTTGAGGCGAGAGGGACCAGAGTTTGAAGCGAGAGGGACCAGAGTTTGAGGTGAGAGGGACCAGAGTTTGAGGTGAGAGGGACCAGAGTTTGAGGTGAGAGGGACCAGAGTTTGAGGTGAGAGGGACCAGAGTTTGAGGTGAGAGGGACCAGAGTTTGAGGTGAGAGGGACCAGAGTTTGAGGTGAGAGGGACCAGAGTTTGAGGGGAGAGGGACCAGAGTTTGAGGTGAGAGGGACCAGAGTTTGAGGTGAGAGGGACCAGAGTTTGAGGTGAGAGGGACCAGAGTTTGAGGTGAGAGGGACCAGAGTTTGAGGTGAGAGGGACCAGAGTTTGAGGTGAGAGGGACCAGAGTTTGAGGGGAGAGGGACCAGAGTTTGAGGTGAGAGGGACCAGAGTTTGAGGTGAGAGGGACCAGAGTTTGAGGTGAGAGGGACCAGAGTTTGAGGGGAGAGGGACCAGAGTTTGAGGGGAGAGGGACCAGAGTTTGAGGGGAGAGGGAAAGAGTTTGAGGGGAGATGGGCCAGAGTTTGAGGTGAGAGGGACCAGAGTTTGAGGGGAGAGGGACCAGAGTTTGAGGGGAGAGGGACCAGAGTTTGAGGTGAGAGGGACCAGAGTTTGAGGGGAGAGGGACCAGAGTTTCAGGTGAGAGGGACCAGAGTTTGAGGTGAGAGGGACCAGAGTTTGAGGTGAGAGGGACCAGAGTTTGAGGTGAGAGGGACCAGAGTTTGAGGTGAGAGGGACCAGAGTTTTGAGGGAGAGGGTCCAGAGTTTGAGGGGAGAGGGACCAGAGTTTGAGGGGAGAGGACCAGAGTTTGAGGTGAGAGGGACCAGAGTTTGAGGTGAGATGGACCAGAGTTTGAGGTGAGAGGGACCAGAGTTTGAAGGGAGAGGGACCAGTTTGAGGTGAGAGGGACCAGAGTTTGAGGTGAGAGGGACCAGAGTTTGAGGTGAGAGGGACCAGAGTTTGAGGGGAGAGGGTCCAGAGTTTGAGGGGAGAGGGACCAGAGTTTGATGTGAGAGGGACCAGAGTTTGAAGGGAGAGGGACCAGTTTGAGGTGAGAGGGACCAGAGTTTGAGGCGAGAGGGACCAGAGTTTGAGGCGAGAGGGACCAGAGTTTGAGGCGAGAGGGACCAGAGTTTGAGGCGAGAGGGACCAGAGTTTGAGGTGAGAGGGACCAGAGTTTGAGGTGAGAGGGACCAGAGTTTGAGGGGAGAGGGACCAGGAATATGACATAAGTGGGACGAGGGGTGTGGGATGAGGGTGGACCAGTAGACTGGGATGAGTAGGACCAGTAGAATGAGGTGAGTGGGCCCAGGAGTGTGGGGTGAGTGGGACCAGGAGAGTGGGGTGGGTGGAACCAGGAGTGTAGGGTGAGTGGGACCACGAGTGTGGAGTGGACCCAGGAGTGTGGGGTGAGTGGGACCAGGAGTGTGGGGTGAGTGGGACCAGGAGTGTTGGGTGAGTGGGACCAGGAATGTGGAGTGGGACCAGGAGCGTGAAGTGATTGGGACCAGGAGTATGAAGTGAGTGGGGCCAGGAGTGTGAAGTGAGTGGAACCAGGAGTGTTAGGGTGAGTGGGACCAGGAGAGTAGGATGAGTGTGACCAGGAGAGTGGGGTGAGTGGAATCAGGAGAGTGGGGTGAGTGGTTTCAGGAGAGTGGGATGAGTGGGACCATGAGTGTGGGGTGAGTGGGACCAGGAGTGTGAAATGAGTGGAACCAGGAGAGTGGAGTGAGTGGGACCAGGAGTGGGATGAGAGGGACCAGGAGTGTGGGATGAGAGGGACCAGGAGTGTGGGATGAGAGGGACCAGGAGTGTGGGATGAGGGACCAGGAGTGTGGGATGAGAGGGACCAGGAGTGTGAAGTGAGTGGGACCAGGAGAGTGGAGTGAGTGGAACCAGGAGAGTGGGGTTAGTGGGTTCAGGAGAGTGGGGTGAGTGGGACCAGGAGTGTGATAGTCGAGAGTAAAACTCCCACTCTGTCTTGGTTGTCGTCAGGACAGTATGAATATTCCACAGAATTTGCATCTAATTTACATGTCTAATTCCGGTTCAGAATTTGCAATTGAGAATTATCAGTGTGTAAGCTGTGCCTTGGAGACAGAGTTAAAGAAACTCACTCTCTCTGGGGTTTATCCTCTCCCCAGAGATGCTGGAGAATGGGGGAGATGCTGGGGGTGAGGGAGATGCTCGGGAGTGGTCCTTGGTGTCACCCCAGAGATTCTGGGGAGTAGTCCTGGTTTGTCATCCCAGAGATGCTGGAGAATTGGGAGATGCTGGGGGTGAGGGAGATGCTGGGGAGTGGTCCTAGTTTGTCATCATAGAGATGCTGGTGAGTGGTCCTGGTTTGTCGCCTCAGATATGCTGGGGAATGGTCCTGGGTTGTCACCCCAGAAATGCTTGGGAGTGGCCCTGGTTTATATCTCCTCAGAGATGCTGGGAAGTGGTCCTGGTTTATATATCCCCAGAGATGCTGGGAAGTGGTCCTGGTTTATATATCCCCAGAGATGCTGGGAAGTGGTCCTGGTTTATATATCCCCAGAGATGCTGGGAAGTGGTCCTGGTTTATATATCCCCAGAGATGCTGGGAGGTGGTCCTGGTTTATATATCCCCAGAGATGCTGGGAAGTGGTCCTGGTTTATATATCCCCAGAGATGCTGGGAAGTGGTCCTGGTTTATATATCCCCAGAGATGCTGGGAAGTGGTCCTGGTTTATATATCCCCAGAGATGCTGGGAAGTGGTCCTGGTTTATATATCCCCAGAGATGCTGGGAAGTGGTCCTGGTTTATATATCCCCAGAGATGCTGGGAAGTGGTCCTGGTTTATATATCCCCAGAGATGCTGGGAAGTGGTCCTGGTTTATATATCCCCAGAGATGCTGGGAAGTGGTCCTGGTTTATATATCCCCAGAGATGCTGGGAAGTGGTCCTGGTTTATATCCCAGAGATGCTGGGAAGTGGTCCTGGTTTGTCACCCCAAAGATGCTGAGTAGTCCTGGTTTGTCGCCCCAGAGATGCTGGGTACTAGCCTTGTTTTATGTCGCCCCAGAGATGCTAGGTAGAGTGTGATGGATATAATATATATATATATTATATATATATATATATATATATATATATATTATATATATATATATATATATATATATATACATACATACATGAAAGGGAGAGAGAATGAGATTGGGAGAAGTAAACCGAAAAGAATGAAGAGGAAGAAAAAAGG